TACTCACACACACACACACACACACACACACACACACACACACACACACACCCGACCCCTAAACCTACTCATCACAGACACACACACACACACACCCGACCCCTAAACCTACTCATCACAGACACACACACACACCCGACCCCTAAACCTACTCACACACACACACACACACACACACACACACACACACACACCCGACCCCTAAACCTACTCATCACAGACACACACACACACACACCCGACCCCTAAACCTACTCATCACAGACACACACACACACCCGACCCCTAAACCTACTCACACACACACACACACACACACACACACACACACACACACACACACACACACACACACACACACACACACACACACACACACACACACACACACCCGACCCCTAAACCTACTCATCACACACACACACACACACACACCCGACCCCTAAACCTACTCATCAGACACACACACACACACACCCGACCCCTAAACCTACTCATCACACACACACACACACACACACACACACACACCTAACCCCTAAATCTACCCATCACAGAAAACTTTCTGCATTTTTACATTTTCAAAAACATATAATTTAATGTTTATTAACCCATTTCCCTCGTGGGAACCGATGACTGGACCCTCAAAGGTGCTCTTGTGTACTATCCTTGTGTATATAAACCTATACACACACACACCAATTACAGTGACCTTCATCACTCCATCTGATTGGCACACACACACACACATCAGTTCAGATCTCCACTTCATCTGTCTCAGTTCCTTCATCATCACACACACTGCTCTGTCCATCACACACTGCATAATTAATTATTCATGTGTCCTTCCCTCAGCTCTGACCTCTAATCAAGAGATGTATAGTGTGTGTGTGTGTGTGTAACAATGCTGCCAGAAACCACAGGATTGATTGACTGATGACATCACAGCATGAGGTCACCACTTCCTGTCCAGTGCCATGACATCACTCATTGATCTGTGTGTTTCAGGCGCAGAACTGACGTATATCTGACCGATACTGTAAAAGGGTCGTTATAATCAGTTTTATATAATGTGTGTGGCTCATAGAGTTGCGTTCTACAACTTCTGTGTCTCTTTCATCCTGTATTGCGTGCGGATGAAGAGATGAGGACGAGTGCGGGGCATTTCAGAGATTTGACCCATATAAACTGCAGTGAAATATTTATAGAAATAAGTGACCTAATTAAACACTTAAAAGAGCAGCAGCAGCTCTGAGCACCAACCCATTATCCTCTCTCTCTCTCTCTCACACACACACACACACACACACGCGTGTTTGACTTACGCAGGAAATACTCTGATGCGTCGGCTTGATAGTCCGCGTCTTCAGGAAAGTGATCGATCTGTTTACACATGCCTTTAAAATTCCCTGAGAAAGACAGAGAGACAGTCTGACATCCATAAAGAGCAAGCAGTGATGATTTCAGCTTCTGTCAGTGTGTGTGTGTGTGTGTGTGTGTGTGTGTGTGTGTGTGTGTGTGTGTGTGTGTGTGTGTGTGTGTGTGTTAAAATAAACATCATGTTTAATGGCTGATTTCTCAGTAAAGAACTAAACATAATCCTGAGATAAACCAATCAGAGAAGACCCTGTTACCATGGAAACATAAATTATGATTAGTTACTTCTGAATGACGTCACTGAGTCGAACGATACACACACTACTGTTCAAAAGTTTGAGGTCTGTAAGATTTTTTGTAAAGGAACTAATACTTTTATTCTGCTAGGACGCATTAAATTGATCAAAGGTGACAGGAAAGACATTCATAATGTTACAAAAGATTCTATTTCAAATAAATGCTGTTCTTTTGAACTTTCTGTTCATCAAAGAATCCTGAAGAATAAAATGTATGACGGTTTCCACAGAAATATGAACTGTTTTCAACACCGATAATAATCATAAATGTTTCTTGAGCATCAGATCCTCATATTAGAGTGATTTCTGGAGGATCATGTGACACTGAAGACTGGAGTAATGATGCTGAAATTCATCTCTTAAGCCTACTACAAATACTATTATAAGTATATTTTATACAATAATATATTTAATATATAATATTATTAAATATTTGGCTTGAACATCAGCCCTCCAGCCCCAAATGTTGAAGGTTGTTGCTGATGTAGGTTTGTGAGGGCTGAACCTGCAGCTGACCTCTGACCTCTGACCTCTGTCACATGATCTCTCTTCCCCTGCAGGATAACTGCAGTACTCTGTACACTCTCTCTCTCTCTCTCTCTCTCTCTCTCTCTCTCTCTCTCTCTCTCTCTCGGTTTTGCTGCTGTATGCATGTATGTTGCATAACCGCATTACATAATTCACTGTTCTCCACACGTGAGTGTGTGAGTGAGTGTAAGTGATTAGGAGCGTGTCTGACACGATTACCCTTATTCCAATGATCTCTGAGATCAAACACACACACACACACACACACACACACACACACACACACGTCACTAATATCTATAGGATGAAGCGGCATTTATGCCTCAGTCCTGATGACATCATCATCTGATGCACAAACACACTGTCAACATTCCCAGCATATGTGAGGAATCACATACACTGAGACAGACAGACGGGCATTTCACACCCGCTGAAAGGTGACTCGACACACACACACACACACACACACACATACACACACACACACACACACACACAAACTGGTCCTGTGTGTGTCGTCACCTTTCATTGGGAGTGAAATGTTCTCAGTGGAGCTGGAAACATCTCAATACCCGTCTGTCTGTCTGTCAGCAGCACTGTCTCAGTGTATGTGATCTCACTCTGATATAAACAGCCATACTGCATCATCACCTGTCTCACTGCATCATCACCTGTCTCACTGCATCAACGCCTGTCTCACTGCATCATCACCTGTCTCACTGCATCATCACCTGTCTCACTGCATCAACGCCTGTCTCACTGCATCATCACCTGTCTCACTGCATCATCACCTGTCTCACTGCATCATCACCTGTCTCACTGCATCATCACCTGTCTCACTGCATCATCACCTGTCTCACTGCATCATCACCTGTCTCACTGCATCATCTCCTGTCTCTCTGCATCATCACCTGTCTCTCTGCATCATCACCTGTCTCACTGCATCATCACCTGTCTCGCTGCATCATCACCCGTCTCACTGCATCATCACCTGTCTCACTGCATCATCACCTGTCTCACTGCATCATCACCTGTCTCTCTGCATCATCACCTGTCTCACTGCATCATCACCTGTCTCACTGCATCATCACCTGTCTCACTGCATCATCACCTGTCTCACTGCATCATCACCTGTCTCACTGCATCATCACCTGTCTCACTGCATCATCTCCTGTCTCACTGCATCATCACCTGTCTCACTGCATCATCTCCTGTCTCTCTGCATCATCACCTGTCTCACTGCATCATCACCTGTCTCGCTGCATCATCACCCGTCTCACTGCATCATCTCCTGTCTCTCTGCATCATCACCTGTCTCACTGCATCATCACCTGCATCATCACCTGTCTCACTGCATCATCTCCTGTCTCTCTGCATCATCACCTGTCTCACTGCATCATCACCTGTCTCACTGCATCATCATCACCTGTCTCACTGCATCCTCACCTGTCTCACTGCATCATCACCTGTCTCACTGCATCATCACCTGTCTCACTGCATCATCACCTGTCTCACTGCATCATCACCTGTCTCACTGCATCATCTCCTGTCTCTCTGCATCATCACCTGTCTCACTGCATCATCTCCTGTCTCGCTGCATCATCACCCGTCTCACTGCATCATCTCCTGTCTCTCTGCATCATCACCTGTCTCACTGCATCATCACCTGTCTCACTGCATCATCACCTGTCTCACTGCATCATCACCTGTCTCACTGCATCATCACCTGTCTCGCTGCATCATCACCTGTCTCACTGCATCATCACCTGTCTCACTGCATCATCACCTGTCTCACTGCATCATCATCACCTGTCTCACGGCATCATCTCATGTCTCACTGCATCATCACCTGTCTCACTACATCATCACCTGTCTCACTGCATCATCACCTGTCTCACTGCATCATCACCTGTCTCACTGCATCATCTCATGTCTCAGTGCATCATCACCTGTCTCACTGCATCATCTCATGTATAAGTGCATCATCACATGTCTCACTGCATCATCACCTGTCTCACTGCATCATCACCTGTCTCACTGCATCATCATCACCTGTCTCACGGCATCATCTCATGTCTCACTGCATCATCACCTGTCTCACTACATCATCACCTGTCTCACTGCATCATCACCTGTCTCATTGCATCATCTCATGTCTCAGTGCATCATCACCTGTCTCACTGCATCATCTCATGTCTCAGTGCATCATCACCTGTCTCACTGCAACATCTCATGTATAAGTGCATCATCACATGTCTCACTGCATCATCACCTGTCTCACTGCATCATCGCATGTCTCACTGCATCATCACCTGTCTCATTGCATCATCTCATGTCTCAGTGCATCATCACCTGTCTCACTGCATCATCACCTGTCTCACTGCATCATCACCTGTCTCACTGCATCATCACCTGTCTCACTGCATCATCGCATGTCTCACTGCATCATCACCTGTCTCACTGCATCATCTCATGTCTCAGTGCATCATCTCATGTATTAGTGCATCATCACATGTCTCACTGCATCATCACCTGTCTCACTGCATCATCACTGGTCTCACTGCATCATCTCATGTCTCAGTCCATCATCACCTGTCTCACTGCATCATCACCTGTCTCACTGCATCATCTCATGTATTAGTGCATCATCACCTGTCTCACTGCATCATCTCATGTGTTAGTGCATCATCACCTGTCTCACTGCATCATCACCTGTCTCACTGCATCATCACCTGTCTCTCTGCATCATCACCAGTCTCACTGCATCATCATCACCTGTCTACCTGCATCATTCATCACCTGTCTCACTGCATCATCACCTGTCTCTCTGCATCATTCATCACCTGTCTCATTGCATAATCATCACCTGTCTCACTGCATCATCTCATGTCTCACTGCATCATCACCTGTCTCAGTACATCATCACCTGTCTCCCTGCATCATCTCGTCTCACTGCATCATCTCATGTCTCACTGCATCATCACCTGTCTCACTGCATCATCTCATGTCTCACTGCATCAGCTCATGTCTCACTGCATCATCACCTGTCTCACTGCATCATCACCTGTCTCACTGCATCATCACCTGTCTCACTGCATCAACACCTTTCTCACTGCATCATCACCTGTCTCACTGCATCATCACCTGTCTCACTGCATTATCACCTGTCTCACGGCATCATCACCTGTCTCACTGCATCATCACCTGTCTCACTGCATCATCACCTGTCTCACTGCATCATCTCCTGTCTCACTGCATCATCACCTGTCTCACTGCATCATCACCTGTCTCACAGCATCATCTCCTGTCTCACTGCATCAACACCTTTCTCACTGCATCATCACCTGTCTCACTGCATCATCACCTGTCTCACTGCATCATCACCTGTCTCACAGCATCATCTCCTGTCTCACTGCATCAACACCTTTCTCACTGCATCATCACCTGTCTCACTGCATCATCACCTGTCTCACTGCATCATCTCCTTTCTCACTGCATCATCACCTGTCTCACGGCATCATCACCTGTCTCACTGCATCATCACCTGTCTCACTGCATCATCACCTGTCTCACTGCATCAACACCTGTCTCACTGCATCATCACCTGTCTCACTGCATCATCACCTGTCTCACTGCATCATCACCTGTCTCACTGCATCATCTCCTTTCTCACTGCATTATCACCTGTCTCACGGCATCATCACCTGTCTCACTGCATCATCACCTGTCTCTCTGCATCATCACCTGTCTCACTGCATCATCACCTGTCTCACTGCATCAACACCTGTCTCACTGCATCATCACCTGTCTCACTGCATCATCACCTGCATCATCACTTGTCTCACTGCATCATCTCCTTTCTCACTGCATCATCACCTGTCTCACTGCATCATCACCTGTCTCACTGCATCATCACCTGTTTTCACAGCATCATCTCCTGTCTCACTGCATCAACACCTTTCTCACTGCATCATCACCTGTCTCACTGCATCATCACCTGTCTCACTGCATTATCTCCTTTCTCACTGCATCATCACCTGTCTCACGGCATCATCACCTGTCTCACTGCATCATCACCTGTCTCACTGCATCATCACCTGTCTCACTGCATCAACGCCTGTTTCACTGCATCATCACCTGTCTCACAGCATCATCACCTGTCTCACTGCATCATCACCTGTCTCACTGCATCAACGCCTGTCTCACTG